GATTAATATTAATTTTTATTAATATGAAGGAATATATTTAATTTAAATTAAATATATTAAAATCCAAAATTAAATATGATATATATATCTNATGTGCAAGGAATTTCAACCGCTAAGGAACTTTGGGAGAAGCTTGAAGGAATGTACCAAGCAAAAGACATCTCTAATCAGGTGTATCTCAAGGAGCAGTTTCATACTCTGTGTATTAATGAAGGCACAACTATCTTTGACCATCTAAGTGTCTTAAATGGTATCATCTCAAAACTAGAAGCCATTGGAATGAAGATAGATGACAAGGATATAGCGTAGAGGCTTATCTAGTCTCTTCCACATTCTTACGAACACATGAAGCCCATTTTGATTCATGGGAAGGAGAAGATTGTGTTCTCAGAAGTCACCTACAAACTTTTCTTGGAAGAGAAAAGGCTAAGTGGTAGATATAGTGTTTCACTTAAAAACCTGGCATTGGCGATAACTGGAAGTTGGAAGAAGAAGAACTCCATGAACAAGAAATTGATTTGTTATGGGTGTGTACAATCTAGGCACCTCAAGAGAAATTGTCCAAAAGGTGGAGTTGATTCGGCAAGTAGCTCAAGGTCGAAAATCGATGGTGAAGCTAACAATGTGTCTACCTTTGGTGAGGTAGACAACTTTCTCTTAAAGAACATGTACATACTCATGGCATGTCGCTAGTCTCCAAATATTAGAGTAGGTGCACTAGAGCCAACATTGTAGCTCTTGTAAACTCATATTTTATATGAATAAAGCGCAAACACTGCTTTATAAACAATATACTAAAGTACCTATTTACTACGCGTAAAGAAAATAGTATATGTACTTAGAAAGGTTGAAACCACTGACAAGGGTATTAAGTGTCATAAATCTTAATTGTGAGAACTCTATGAGCACAAATGGTGGCCCTTCTTAAACCGTCCATAGTCATAGTATAAATCTGACCTAGGACACAGATTATACGGAGAGACTATCATTGCGTTGAACGACCCTTTCGAAAGATAGTGACAAGTCTCACATGTCAAGGTTGTGAGCATCAACTTGGTGCAACGCATGGGTGCTTGCTTGTGCAAGTCCACTAGACTTACCCATCAGAGGATTCCATACAAGATGGTAACTCAATTTCTATGGAATATATCCTTTTACGGATGGTGGTGCATGTGGTCCTTCGACTTGAGATCACTAGAGCACCGTGTGTAAAGATCGATGTGATTTGACACCAACCTAACGTCGTCTCTCTTTGGGATTACCAGAAAAATGGTGATTGGTTACAATGGGAAGTACACTATGGCTATAGTGGATCAACAAAAGATTCATCACTCCTTGTTACAAGATACATTATCTTGGCGAGATATTTGGTTAAAGAATTACGATTGCAAAGTCGTGGCCACAGTGGAATTGTGTTGGTGCTCGAATCCAATCTCATATAGTCGTTAGATTCAAGAACCGAATATACAACAGGTCAAGGTAATAGTTTTGAAGTAGACACTACTTCTGTACCTCAAACCTTGATGAGATATAAGATGATGAAATTGAACGAATTGCACAATAACCATACCGTAGACAAGGAAAGCTTGATCGTTGAATCTTTGCTTACCGGGGAATCATGATGCCTTACTAGAGGCCAATCTTGATTGGCGTACGAAAACACTAATTGGCTGATACCTAATTAGTTATCAGGATACTGCCAACAAAGTAGATAGCCTTCAGGTCACACAAATAAAAGGTAGTTAAGTGAAGAATGGAAATGAAAGGACAATCTTGTCATTGGACCGAAAAGGGTATTTCGATAATTTGGGAGTCTATGGGCATTTTTCATCATTATGGGCAAAAAGGGCACTTTGGTAATTTTGCTAGGGTTGGCACCATTATCCAATATTTATATTGGAGGAATTTTGACAAAATTAGATTAATATTAATTTTTATTAATATGAAGGAATATATTTAATTTAAATTAAATATATTAAAATCCAAAATTAAATATGATATATATATCTATGGATTAAATAAATAGAAATATTTATTTAATTAGAATATGTATTTATATAGGAATTAAATAAATAAATATATTTATTTAATTAAAATTCATATTTAGGAGAATATCTTAAGAGATATTCTTATCCTAATATAAAGGATTGCAATCCAATTCAAATTGGAATTAAGAAGATTGCAATCCAAACCAAATTGGAAATCAAGGATTCATAATCCTTGTAGGATTCTAGTTTGGGGTTGGCTATATAAAGGGACAATGGATTTTAATTAAAGAGAGATTTTTGAGAGAACTCTTTTAAGAAAAATTAGATTAATTTTTCTCCTTCTCCCAAAAGCTCACACCCAAACCCTAGCCACCAAGAGAATTTTATTCTCTTAATTTCCCCCTCCCTTCCTTAAGCTCTAAGATTGGTCTAGCAATTAATCTTAGGGTGATCCCGAGCCTGCCTTCATGTGGATACCGACGGACTCAATCCTGCATTGGTTTGATAGCGATTAATCGGAGACATCCAAAGGAACCGCCAACGAAGATATTAGATCAAACCTTGTATGGTTTTGATTTAATTTTATGTTGATTATCATGTCAAAATCATGATCTTGGGTAAAAGGGATCGTGCCATGGAAAGATTTTTTTTTATAATTTTGCGCTTGCCACAATACGGTTTTTTCACCAAATTTGCTATGAAAGAGGATGTGTCACTACTAGCGGGTTTTGCACACGGGCATTGGTTGGCATTGATGCAAGTTGTGTGGTGAGATTGGTGTCAATGGCTAATAAACTTCCTGGAAAGCCAACGTGGAAGTTGCATCATAATTTTTCAGCAAATTTGTTTGACATATGCCGAGGTAAAATCTTAGGTTGGTTGATTCCAAGTATGTGTACTTTTCTAAGGTAGAGTATGATAATTTTCTACAACAAGAATTATGACTGTTTGTGAAGATGATGTTGTGTAGCGAAAGCTGTGGCAATTATTTTTATTTAGCCAAGGTGGAGATTGTCGTGCAAATTGCACATGTTGGCTAATTAAAATATTGTTGGATTGGACTCATTATCAAAGCCCAAGTATGGCCTAAGAAGTGAGTTGACTCAAATGTTTTAAATAAGTGGTGGAGATTTAACCAAGTGAAATATGTGGCTATGATTTGCTCTTGAAGGCTATAAATTGGGAGCATTGGTTAGGGTTTTAGGTATCCCAAAGAAAAAGAGTAGGGTATCTAAAGGAAAGAAAATTTGAAGTTTTATGTTAAGCTTTGAGTTAGAGAATTTGTGTGTGAAATTCTCTTGTGTGAAATTATTCTTTTTGTTTTGGGTGAGAGAAAGTTTACTAAGAATATGAGTGATTGTAATCTTTTTCACATAGTGAATCTTCTCAGGTTGTCTTTGGCAACAACAGTGGTTTTTTCTCCCATTTTGGAGTTTCTACTTAATTCTTGTGTTGTGAGATTGTGTTCTTAATTCTCTAATTTCTATTTCTCTATATTGTGTGACATTTTTTCTTAATAGGTAAAATGATGCCTGTTTATGACAAGCTTATGATTTACTTGTTGCTCGAAAAAACTATGTTATACTGCGATCATAAATCACAATACAAAAAGATCAATACGATTACCTGCTCATGTTTTGCCAAATTAATTTTATTCATAACGTTAAGGGGACTCAATATTTATTTACTTAATTGATAATGATAACAGTAATAATTTACCATTTTAAATACTTCGGAGAGCTTTTCTTTAATTCAGAAAAAAATCAATAATCAAATGGAATTTTGATGAGTTCCTTTTTGCAAATACTGTATGTCTGTATGAGTAATAATTAATAAATTATTTTCCCAAATAGAAATTTACATGACAATTCATGAAACAAAAACTCATGACTCTTATTTCAAAGATGGTATTTTAATTACAGGGTAGATAGTATAAACGACAAATTGAAATGGGGTTTTTCAATGCTTAAGCTATGTATACGTCCTCTTATAACCTTTCTAAAATAAATAAGATTTTCAAGCCAACCTGACATTCAACAGGTGAAACAGGAGAACTAAGAATATTATTAATTATTTATCCAAAATCAAGTTTAGATTCCATACAGTATTAATTGATTAGAGTCGCATTATGATTCTTAAAAAAAAATTTAAAAATTATTAGTTCTTTTTAACAAACTATAAACTAAATTGTTTTCTAGAAATTCTTTTAAGTAGGTCTTGAATGATTCCAAGAAAAATATTGATGACGGTTAGATTATTGTTTCTGTAGTGTGGTGACGTGGCTTGTGTTTTGCCATGGTAGAGTCAATTAAAATTGGGTGAGTCAAAGGGTGCAACGACGTCATTTTATGATGAGCTAAAGAGGGTTTTTACAACTCATTCGATCCAACCCTCATTTCTCTTCTCTAACTTCATTTGTTCCAGAATGTGCTAATGGGAGACAAAATCTGTTACTCATCTACAACTGGAAATCCTTGGGGTTCCAAGTGGAGGCTGATCCTGGAGATGAGTTGTGTATAAATTGATTCCATTTGATATGGATTCGCAGCAAGGGGAAAAGAGAAGAAAGCTAGGGTTTCTTCGGGTTGTATTCTTCCTTGCTCATTCTGTTTTCTTTGTTCAATACTCTATAAATTGTCTACTTGACTATGATAGTAATGACATCCTATTTGCACCTTGAAGAGTGGATGTAGGCTACCCAACGGAACCACTATAATTCATTGTGTTGATCTTTATCTCTTTACTTGATCTGTTGTTTGTTTAAATTCTGGATGATTCATTGTTGTTAATCTGTGATTACTTTCATGTTTGGGGATTGGTAGTTAAACAGAGAACTGGAATCTGTGATTATCATCTTGTTACACAGTTGATTAGTTAGGCATAGAACTGTAATATATGAAACTCGGTTCAAAATCCAACAGATTGGTATCAAAGCCTGGTTCAGGGCTTCATAAAGTGTTCTGTTTTTGTTTTGAGTATTCTGTGACCAGTTTTTTAGGCTAAACTCGAATCATGTCCACTAAGTTTGAACTTGAAAAGTTTACAGGTGAGAATGATTTTGGTCTGTGGAAAATGAAGATGGAAGCAGTACTGATCAAGGAAGGGCTACCTCTAGCCCTAAAGGAAGAGACTGAACTTCCAGAGACTATGACAGCTTCCAAGAAGCAGGAAATGCTAGACAAAGCCAAAAGATCCTTGATCCTTGGATTGGGTGACAAAGTCCTTCAAGAGGTCAAGAAGGAGAAGACTGTTGATGAAATCTGGAACAGGTTAAATTCTCTCTATCGATCTAAAACTGTCCCTAATAGATTATTTTTAAAGCAGGGGTTGTTTGGCTTTAAAATGGATGAGCAGAAATCTTTAAAAGATAATAAAGATGATTTTTTGAAAGTGATTCAGGATCTAGAAAGTATTTCTGTAGACATTAATGATGAGGATCAGGCAGTAATCCTGTTGAATGCATTACCTAAATCATATTCTAATTTTATGGAAACCCTTAACTATGGTAGACAAACATTGAAGTTAGGAGACGTAGGAGGCTATTTCTACCAAGGACAGTGAAAATAGGATGAGAGATAAAAATAGTGGTGATGGTGAAAGCCCTAATGTTAGAGGGAGATCAGAAAGGAAGAATTGGAAAAAGGGAGGGCAAAATAGGAACAGGTCAAAATCTAGGTTAGGGAATAGAAAATGTTTCTTTTGCCATAAGGAGGGTCATTTTTAGAGAGATTGTCCTAAGAGAAAGAACAAGAAGAAATCTGAAAAAGATAGTGAGGGAGGCAGTGCTGGTTTAGCATCTGAGGGATATGAAAGTTCAGAGGTTTTAGTTATTTCCGAGGGTAAAACTAGTGAGGAATGGATGCTAGACTCAGGGTGTACCTACCACATGACACCAAATAGAGAATGGTTCAGCTCATTTCAACCTTTAGATGGTGAGAAAGTTATGATGGGGAATAATGTTGTGTGTCATATAAAAGGTACAGTTAAGCTAAATCTTCAAAGTGGTGTAACTAAAACTCTCACAGACATTAGATATATTCCTGACCTAAAAAGGAACTTAATCTCACTAGGAACCTTAGATTCTAATGGGTTTAGCTATTAGGCAGCAAATGGCAGCCTTAGTGTTATGAAAGGATCTCTAGTTGTTATGAAATCTGAGAAGAGAAATGGGTTATATGTGTTAAAGGGTAGAGTGGAGAGTGGGATTGCTGTTGTTGGGTCAACAGAGTTCAAGATAGAACTTCATTGTGGCATCAAAGACTTGCACACGTTAGTGAGAAGGGCTTAGTAGAACTAGGCAAGCAAAACCTGCTGTGTGGGGATAAGATTGGAAGTCTAACTTTCTGTGAACATTGTGTCTTTGGAAAAATGAGTAGAGTTAAATTTGAATTTGGTCAACACTACTCAAGTTTACCACTTGAGTATGTTCACTCAGATGTTTGGGGTCCATCTAGGCACTACTCACTTGGAGGATGTAGATACTTCATTAGTTTTGTTGATGATTTTTCTAGATACGTGTGAATCTACTTCCATAAAACCAAGGATGAGGCATTCTCTAGGTTTAAGGAATGGAAAGTCATGGTAGAAACACAAACTGGAAATAAGTTAAAGAAGCTTAGGACTGATAATGGTCTAGAGTTTGTAAATGAAGAATTTGACAGTTTCTGTAGGATACATGGAATTGTGAGACATAAAACAGTAAGGAATACCCCACAACAAAATGGTCTTTGTGAGAGGATGAATAGAACCATTTTGGAAAAGGTTATAAGCATCATGTCTAGCTCTAAACTGCCTCTTAAATTCTGGGCAGATGTAGCACACACAACAGTCAACCTAATCAATAGAACTCCATCTTCAGTAATAGGTTTTAGGATCCCTCTAGAGAAGTGGACTGGTCATCCTGTAAAACTAGAAAATCTTAGAGTTTTTGGGTGTCTAGCTTATTTCCATGTTAAAGAAGACAAATTAAAACCTAGAGCCATTAAATGTATCTTCTTAGGATACCCAGATGGGGTAAAGGACTATAAACTCTAAAACTTAGAGTCTAAGAAATGTATCATCAGCAGAGATGTTGTTTTTAGAGAAGAAATTCTACCTGGCCTTGAAAAGGATTCTGAAAATTTAGAAGGCAGTCTATTAGGATCAGATTACTTAGAACTAGAACTTCAAAACTCCAAAGTTGATTAAACTGTGAATCAAGGTAGAGCTGATGAGATTCAAGCTGAGGAAAATAATCCTAAAAATTCTGTGGGTGATCAAACTGGTGAACTTGAAGGTGAGCAGTTGAACCATGGTGATGAGTTAGGGCTGTCTAATTACCAACTATCAAAAGATAGAGTTAAAAGGGTAATCAAACCTCCAAGCAGGTTAAGGTATGCTGATCTGGTGGCTTATGCTTTACAAGTTGAAGATGATATAAGTGATGAACCCAAGTCTTTTCTAGAGGCTATGTTAAGGCCAGAAAAATTGCAATGGCTTAAAGCAATTGAAGAAGAGTTTTCTTCTTTGATAAAGAATGAAACCTGGATTTAAGTAGATAAGCCAAGAAATTGTAGAGTGATCAAGTGTAAATGGATTTTTAAAAGAAAATCTGGATTAAACCCAATTGAGCCACCAAGGTATAAGGCACAGTTGGTCGCAAAAGGATTTACACAAGTGGAAGGCATAGATTACAATGAGATTTTTTCCCCAATTGTCAAGCATTCCTCTATCAGAATTCTGTTGTCACTTGTTGTCCAATTTAATCTAGAACTAGAACAATTGGACGTGAAGACAGCTTTCTTACATGGAGATTTGGAAGAGACCATTCTGATGGAGCAGCCAAAAGGACACAGAGATGTTGCAAGTAAAGTTTGTCTACTTAAAAAATCCTTGTATGGTCTGAAATAGTCACCACGACAGTGGTATAAAAAGTTTGATTCATTCATGATTGAAATAGGTTTTAACAAATGCAATTATGATGGTTCTTTCTATTTTAAAAGAGCTTCTTAACTGACTTACATTTTCCTACTTTTGTATGTGGATGATATGCTTGTGGCTTGTCATGAATAATCTGAGCTGTCTCGGTTGAAAAAGATTCTTAACACCAAATTTGAGATGAAAGAGTTGGGTCAAGCTCAAAAGATACTTGGGATATCAATCATTAGAGACAGAGTTCATGGAAGTTTAAAGATGGTTCAGCAAGATTATGCTGAAAAGATTCTACAGAAGTTCAATATGAAGGATGCAAAGGCTGTCCAAACTCCCCTTGGTCGACATTTTTAAGCTTTCTCATGATCAGAGTCCTCAAACTAAAGAAGAAAAACTTGAAATGTCATCAGTCCGTTATGCTAATGTGCTATGCAGTTTAATGTATTTGATGATATGTTCAAGACCCGACTTGGCCTACTCAGTAAGTATTGTGAGCAGGTTCATGAGTAATCCAGGGAAGATCCATTGGTATGCATTGAAATGGATCTTAAGGTACATAAAGGGGACCAGTTCAGTAGGTATAATGTATAAGAGGAATCAGAAAGAAAACTACTGTGTTGAAGGATTTGTTGATGCAGACTATCCTGGTGATGTTGATAGAAGGAAATCAACTTCAGGTTTTGTCTTTACAGTATGGGGAAACATTGTTAGTTGGAAGTCCAAACTCCAACACATGGTTACACTACCTTCAACTGAATCCGAGTATGTAGCACTAATAGAGGCATCAAAAGAAGCAAAGTGCCTAAAGGGTTTTGTGACTGAGCTAGGTTTAGAACAGAGGGCAGTAACAGTTTACAGCGATAGTCAAAGTGCCATACATCTTTGTAAAAATCAAGTATTTCACGAACGGACTAAACACATTTATGTTTGACTCCACTTCATTAGAGAAATGATTGATAGACAGGAAATTAAGGTTGAAAAGGTGGATGGCTCTCATAACCCAATAGATATGCTTACAAAACCTGTTACTGCTGACAAACAAAGGCTTTTTATGAGTCTTCTTAATGTTACATGACCAAGAGCCTATTTCCAAGGCCAAATAGGGTGTCAAAACAAAAGCCAAGGTGGAGAATTGTGGTGACGTGGCTTATGTTTTGCCATGGTGGAGTCAATTAAAATTGGGTTAGTCAAAGGGTGCAGTGACATTGTTTTATGATGAGCTAAAGAGGGTTTTTACAACTCATTCGATCCAGCCCTCATTTCTCTTCTCTAACTTCATTTGTTCCAGAATGTGCTAATGGAAGACGAAATCTGTTACTCATCTACGGCTAGAAATCCTTGGGGTTCCAAGTGGAGGCTGATCCTGGAGATGACTTGTGTATAAATTGATTCCATTTGATATGGATTCGTAGCAAGGGGAAAAGAGAAGAAAGCTAGGGTTTCTTCGGGTTTTATTCTTCCTTGCTCATTATGTTTTCTTTATTCAATACTCTGTAAATTGTCTACTTGACTGTGATAGTAATGACATCCTATTTGCGCCTTAAAGAGTGGATGTAGGCTACCCAACCGAACCACTATAATTCCTTGTGTTAATCTTTATCTCTTTACTTGATATGATGTTTGGTTAAATGCTTGATGATTCATTGTTGTTAATCTGTGATTACTTTCATGTTTGGGGATTGGTAGTTAAACAGAGAACTGGAATCTGTGATTATCATCTTGTTACACAGTTGATTAGTTAGGCATAGAACTGTAATCTATGAAAACTCAGTTCAAAATCCAACATGTAGTTTTTGGATAGAGTGATTGTGAATAAAATAAAATAAAATTTTATTTTACGCCTACCTTCGAGTTAGAAACTTATTTCCCTTTAGTTATTAAGTAATAGTCCATTGTTAATATCTCATCAATGACAACACAAGCAACATTGGTGTTATCCTACTAAACTTAGAAAGAAATGTTATGGTCAAAACAAATTAATACAACTTGTCAACCCAAGTTGTCGTTGAATAACTTTCGGCCATTTCTTTAAAACTATAATATGTAAATAGTAAAGGAGAAGTTACATGCACTATATTCGGCACACCACTCCTACTTATAAATAAATTGTGCAGTTATTTTCATATACCTACATAGGGACAAATCTAAGATTACCCAAAAAGAAGGAAAAAATAGGGGTGAGCGGTTCCGGGTACCCTACATTTTTTCAGGGGAACCGAAACTAGAACCGCACAGTGCAGGTTCCCAAGAAAAGGAACTGGAACTGGAACCACACAGTGTAGGTTCTTAAATTCAAGGAACCGGAACCTAAAATGCAGGTTCTGATTCCTTTCCCGGGTACCCTATAAAAAATCAATTACCCCCTATTAGTTTAAAAAATGATAAAAACACCTTAAAAGTTTACAAATACACCCCTAAAAAATTTTGATTACTCATTCATTTGTGTCCAATGTGACTCATAAATCCTCTAATCTCTAGGCAACACTTGAATTTAATCGATTCACCACAATTCACATAAAATTCCTCAATCAAAACCAAAATACAAACAATTAATTAAACAATCATTCTATAAATCTATAATTTAATATTATAATTAATTAAATTTCTAATCATTTAATTAAGTATTGTACTAATGTTTATAATAAATATTATAATTAATTAAATAATCATATAATAATTAAGTAATCATACTATAAATCTATAATGTAATGTTATAATTAATTAAATTTTTAATTGTTTAATTAAGTAATGTACTAATGTAGTAAATTACTAATGTTTAAAATATAATGTTATAAATTTATAATTAATTAAGTAATCATTTAACTATGTAATGTTATAATTAATTAAGTGATTATAATATAATGTAATGTTATTATTAATTAAGTAATTATTTAGTTATAATGTAATGTTTTAATTAATTAAATTTCTAATATTTAATTAAGTATTGTACTAATGTTTATTATAGAATGTTATAATTAATTAAGTAATCATACTATAAATTTATAATGTAACGCTATAACTAATTAAATTTCTAATAATTTAATTATGCATTGTGCTAATGTAGTAAATTACTAATGTTTATAATATAATGTTATAATTAATTAAGTTATCATTTTATTATGTAATGTTATAATTAATTATGTGATAACACTATAATGTAATGATATAATGAATTAAGTAATCAAGCTATAAATCTTTAATATAATATTATAATTAATTAAATTTCTAATCATTTAATTAAGTATTGTACTAATGTTTATAATGGAAATTTATAATTAATTAAGTAATAATTTTTTTATAATGTAATGTTATAATTAATTAAGTAATCATACTATAAATTTATAATATAATGTTATAATTAATTAAATTTCTAATCATTTAATTAAGTATTGTACTAATGTAGTAAATTACTAATGTTTATAATATAATGTCATAATTAATTAAGTAATCAATTAATTATGTAATGTTATAATTAATTATGTGATCATACTATAATGTAATGTTATAATAAATTAAGTAATCATACTATAAATCTTTAATGTAATATTATAATTAATTAAATTTTTAATCGTTTAATTAAGTATTGTACTAATGTTTATAACAGAATGTTA